GCTGTTATTATCTCAGTGTTCACAAAGCCTAAATTTGTGCTCCGTTGCACATTTCACAACTGCTCCACAATTTGCACCCGAAAGTGGGCCAAGGACCTCAGTTTTAGACCTCTGTGTTCTGCTTCCTGACACTGCTTATTGGCAGTCCCTTTTCTCAGCTACCTAAGCTGCAGAAACACCTGTTCTGGATGAAAGGGATGGGATGGAGAGAGTGTAGTGAAAGAGGAAGAAAGTCCAGTCAAAATCAGAGCTCTATGACCAATTGTATTCCAGGGCAGAGATCTCCTGGTTTCCATTCTTGGCCTTCAGACAGCTGTGACCTAAGGCATTCCCTTGAACCTCTTCAGAAGCATTCTGCTTGCACAAACACATCAACTTCCTAAGAATGCCTCTCCCTTAGAAGGCTGCCTTTCTGAAACACCAGGAGGAGGAAGTCTAGTGGTTGAACTTCTGAATCATTTGGGGAAAAAAAGGAATGCTTTATAAACTTTACTTTGAATATGCAAACCTTTTTCTCCAGCTCTGGGCAGAGACAAGATTTCTGAAACATCCAACTTGCTAACAAAAATGGTAGGGCCTAGGCTGTAGAAGGAAGAGAGGAGCTGCCTAGAGAAGTTTAGAGGTCAGGGTTATTGCACCCACCAGCTGCTGCTTGGAAGAGGGATTCACCAGGAGAAACAGGAAAAGGTAAATGTACTGCCAACAGTTTCACATTTTACTCTCCAGACAACCAAAGAAATCAGGACGACAGGCACCTCCCCTGCAGAGGAGGGGTGGGGCAAGCGGCTCTTGGTAAGAGAGTTTAGAGGGTTGAAAATGGGAAGAAGAGTGAGGAGTCATCCTTGACACCCTCCTGTTTGTGCAGAACAGAAGAAGAAGCAGGAAAGATGCAGAACTCCAACACGTGTCCAAAGGGATGTATCTGACACTGGCCATAGGGATGGGAACTGCAGTGCACAAAAAGCGGCTGCGCAAAAGCTGTTAACAGAGGTCTGTAGCCACGGAGATGGAAACTGATCTGTCAAGGATCCCAGGGAGGGTGAGTAGAATCTAGAAAACAGAAGTGCCAGGATGAGGCAAATGGGGCTACAGAGAGCCTGTTTGCAAAACTGTACAAGGAGGAGAAAAATTCATTCAGATTTTACACTCTAGGCTACATAGAAGGGCTAATATGGCTGGGGCTGTGCTGGGAAATCAGGAACAAACAGGGCACGGCAACCTCGAGCTGTATGCCTAGGCTCACAAAGCCCAGAGGGGGCAGGGGGAAATCTTGGGGAATCATTCTTTTGTATGCTGCATGGAATCAAACTTTTACAAAATACAGGAGTTTCCTTTTCAGGATTGAGCCACTAGGCAGGAACTCTTTATTTCCTTAAGTTCTGTTCAAAATTTACCCATTTGTGGGGGATGGATGATGGGGTTCAGAACATATTACCCCAAAATATGGCACCTTTGCAACTGAAGAAACAGCACTGACAGAAAGAGCTCTCTGACTTTCCTCAGCTCTTCTGCCCTATACCAGGTCTGTATCCGTTAGGGTTTTACTACAGAAACAGACAGAACACAAGATATACAAATGTATAAGAAATGACAAGATTGGTTTAAAATGGTCAGCCACAGAGTTGGGTGCGGAAGCGTGCAGAGGGTGTGTGCACACTGGAGGCTGAAGGGTACAGTTTAGGGTCTGGAGTTCACTTAAGTGTCCCATGAAAGTCTGCATCAGGAGGCTGATGGGCTTGCAATAGAAACCTGAAGGATCTACACCAGAAGGCTGAAGGATCCAAGGCAGAAGCCAAAGAGTCTGTGCTAGAAGCTAGGAGATGATGTCCAAGCTGAAGGCGAAGACAGGAGCGCCCCCAAAGAACAGAAGCCAGGCCATCCTTCTTCATTTCCCTTTTATACTGTCCAGGCAATGAGCCATGCTAGAGTGGGTCCTCTACACACCCTACAGTGTAGAACTGCTGAGCCAACTTAGTTAAGCTTCTAAACTTCTCAGGTTGACACAATCAATCAACCACTACAAGGTCATAAGTCTAGGAAAGCTTTTCTGACCTTCCTCTGAAGTAGATCATAAGACCCTGCTGTGAGAGGTGCCCTTCTCATACCTAGGAAGGGGCCTTTCTTTGTCTCTGAAGACACAGGAGCACAGCAAGGACTCTGACAAAGAGGAGTTGCTAAGTTCTCCCAGTTTATTACCATTAGATCATACTCTTTACTCAATGATATTTTTTCACAACTGTCCAATCTTCATCAAACCTAACACAAGTGTCTTGGTTACTTTTCTCTCATTGCTGAGACAAAATATCTGATGCCCAAAATTAAGGAAGGAAAGGTTTAGCTCAGTCCGTGGAGGTTTCAGTCCATACTCAGGTGGCTCCAAGGCAGGGTGGCACATGGTGCAGGGCAACCCTTGATGGTGGGGGGGTTGGGGGAGGGAGACAGCAAAAATCAGCAAGAGCAAGAGAGGAGTGGCAGCAAGAAGCCTCTTTCTCTCCCTTATATATGCAAACTATCTGCCCCAGGGCAGGTGCAGCACTCACACCCATAATCCCAGCATTGGATCATGGATCAATTATAAATCTAGAAGTCTGCCCCATGACTGCATAAGGCTTTGGGGGGACATCCGGACACAAACCATAACAACAAGAATACATATATTTAACTGTTTCTTTGGGTCTTCATTTCCTTGTGAAGGCTCAGGTGTCATGTAAAACCTGTATGAAAAACATTTATATGCTTTTCTGCTATTAATCTGTCTTTTGTTATAGGGACCTCAGCCATGAACCAGGAATGGCTACAGATGTGATGTTTTCTTCTCCTGTGTGAGAAAGAGGAAAAAGCTATCATTGCTTTGCTTCCTGCTAAGGTTCTCTTCTCTAAGGCCTGAGTTTGGACCACTTATATAACCCACATCTTTTACATTAGTCTGATGTTTAATTTCTTACTGATTTGAATTTTTTTTTTTTTTTGGTTTTTTTTTTTCCAGTACCAGGAATCGAACTCACGACCTTGCGCTTGCCAGACAGATGCTGTGCCACTGAGCTAAATCCCCAGCCCCTTGATTTGAATTTTTAAAAAATTTCCACTCAGAGAAATCTTTTCTCATTGGTGGATTATCTAATGAAGGCTGCAGGAGATTTAATTTGAAGGCATTAACTTAATAGTTATATGCTTCAGAAGAAGGAAAAATACTTAAAACCCTGGAAATGCCAAGATTGGATTTGTTTTTCCAATGCTGCAAAATAATTAGGACTGCAAAGCAAACACTCTTGGGGAGAAGCCTTTATTTAAAGAGAAAAATAAGTTGATTCACACAAAAAAGAGGCTTTGATTTTTTGTGAGACCCCTAGGTACTAGTAATACTATTCTAACACTATTGTTCTTACTTCAATACCACTTGGAGTTACCAATACTTGATATAACCATTAACACTATTGATATCCACACACCACACAGCAGGACTCATTTCAACAATCACATGCATTTAGGGCTTGTAGATTTTCTAAGTCAAATATTTTTGTTTTAATAACACAGTACCCTGATATAGTATTTCCTAGTTTTTCAAGGGTTTTTAAGTATGTTATCTTTCATTTACTCCTCAAATGCCTTCTAGAACAGATGAAGCAAATGTTACCATTGTTTCCTTTTGTTATAGTGTTGACCAGCTCATTTCTGGAAAAAAATACACTCATGCACATGGTAACAAATTCAAGTAGAAAGGGCACGTACTGAAAGTAAAGAAGTCTCTCTTAATCATCTCTTCTTACCTCTACCCCCAGTCACTCAAGAGACAGAACTACTGTTAAAGGGTTCTTCACAGTCCTTTAGAAATTGCTGTGCACACAGTAGCATAAACCTATGTGTTCCCTTTAAAAATGCACTCATACAAGGACAGGGGCAGGCACTTTCCCAGTTTGTGTCTTGTTTTTTTCAATTAACCGTATATCTTGGAGATCTCCAACAAGAACCTGTAGAGGCCTACCTCATTCTTAAGCAGTTATTTAACTGATCCCCTGGTGATGGGTATCTAGGTTATTTCCAGGAGTTTCTATTCTAAGCAATGCTACAATGAGCACTCAGACAGAATATTAGCAAAAACTTATAAACTGCTCACAGTGTTTTTCCTGTACATAAAGTCATTTAATTCTCACAATGATCCCATGACATAGAAACTATTGTTGCTCTACTTTACAGTTGAGAAAATAAATAGGGAGAGAGTTACGAGGTGACAGAGCATGGACTTGAATGCAAACAGTTTGGCTCTAGGAACCAACTCTTCACAAACACCCTGCAGCCCTGCCTTGCTGTGTTTTGTATGAATGATTAGATGTGGAAGGCAAGGCAGTGCTTTGCGGCTGAAGAACCAGAGGCCAGAGGTGTTCATGCCCGTGATTACCCCGGGTAGTGGCTGAGTGGCTGAGTCTGCTAATTCCCAGGTTTTGCTCATTTGTTGCCCCTTGGTGACATGCCAGTGCCTCAAGAATGTCATCTGCCTGGATTCCTGGGAAGTTCCGGACACCTTCGAGGTGGATGGAGAGTCCACCTGTGAGCAGTGGTTTAGGGGGGCTTTCAGAGACATGGCACAACGGATGAGTGTATTTCACAGGGTCTTTCTTAAATTCAGATCTTGCACTAGTAGATAAACTGAAAGCAGATGTTAGCATAGCATATCTTTCATGTAAAAATACACTTCTTGATTGCAAGTTTAGAGCTATATATATATATATATATATATAATTTTATTTAAAATTACTGCTCAGTTTTGGCTCTACCCCCAAAGAAAAGTTTATAACTCATGAGTAGAAAGTTTAGGATAAAGACAGCATTCCAAATTTAAACCTACATAACTGCACATTTGCCCTGGAGGGACACAGAACCAGCATCCTCTCCCAGCCTGAGAATGGCACAGCTGCACTCCATATCTGAAACCAAAGTGCTTCCAAAGTGCTGGGCAGCTCTTGACAGTTGTAAGCAAACCTATTTTCAAACACCTCCTTAGTTTAAATAGTTCTGGAATCTCCTTCAGACCCTCAAATACCTCGAGTTCTTGTCCCCATTTGATGTAAATGTCCCTGACTGTACGGCCAGAGGGCTCCTTAGAACCGTCTAGGCCAAGCATTCACCATCACAAGGTCTCATACTGCCCAGTGCTTTAGGGTCTTGCGATCACTTTGCCTCTTTCCAGTTCTTTGATCCCCGTGCAAGCAGCTACTATGTCCTCACGGCTTTTGCGTCTCCATTGCCTCCACAGGGTGTGACTCACAGTGGAAACTCCACAAATGTTTGTCAAATCCTCCCCTGTCCGACGGTGTCCTAAAATCTCCCCAACTATTATCCCAGCTATTTCCTGGGAAACCTGAGCACTTTCAACAGTGGGCAGGCTTGATGGAGATCCAAGCCTCTTGTCTTGCCAGCCAAAAGGACTTGAGTTGGATTTCTGGGCTACATAGGTAGGTTTCTGGCTTTTTTCTTTATTTACTTATGAGTTGTATGGCTACCGCGTGCCAGGTGTAACGCCGTGCGGCACTGGTGCACAGAGACGAACAAGAGAGGCTGCAGTCTCGTGTGGATTACAGACACAGCGTGGAACACCCAAACCCTGGCGGGTGCCCTGAAGGTCTTGTGGTGCGGACGCCCAAGAAGACTGAGACTGGGAGATCAGGGAAGGCATCTCTGAGGAAACGGCATTTAAGCTGAAACCTAGAGGGTGGAAGACATCCAGCTACTTGCGGAGTAGAGGCCACAGGCACAACATATATGAAACCAGCACCACGAGAAAAAAGTTAGCGCAGGCAGCACTTCTGCTGCCCTTCTCCCCCCGCCCGGCCTTCCGCTGTTTGCAGCCACAGCTGTGGTGAACAGTTTCCTGCAAGTTCAAATATACCTAGAGCTGCCAGCCCCCTACTGCAAGCATCTCAGCGTCTTCCTGCCCCCTCTGAGAGCACCAACTACAGTCTGAAAGGAAGGTGGCCCTGCTGCCCAGACAACTCTCAGTGGCGGGGGACAGGAGCCGGTGGACAAGCGCCCTCACCTCCTACCTTTTAACACCTCTGGGAGACAGTCTGTGTACTTCTCAGGAGATCTCAGCAGAATACAGCCTTGTTACCCAGAACGGCAATCTCAAAAAAAAAAAAAAAAAAATGTGCTCACTTTGCTTTTCCCCTTTCCTTTCTTTCCTACCTTTTTCATGCCTTCACTCCTTCCAGGATCCTCCCCTATTTGGACCTCTGTCATTTCTAGGAAACTTAGTCGAGGATGTACATGTTAGGAGAACTGGCAAAAGATCTGAAAGGGGGTGATCAAGGAGGTTAGTCCAGCAAGATGGGTTTGGAATTGTAGGACGGGGCAAATCACGGAGTTGGAAGTCCTAATGAGAATGCCATACTCCAAGCTTCTCGGTGGAGACAGGGTAGGTCTGCACAGCTGGCGGCTCTACTGTAGTCCAGGCAACAGAGGATGGAGCTTGTACTGTAAGGTTAGCAGAGGTGATGAAAAGAAATGGACAGGTTGGGATATATTATAAAAGCGGAATGGCCTTCACTTGTTAATGGGTTGGATGAAACATAGGCTGGGATCAAGGATGATCTTGCTTAAGCAGCTGGGTCGGTGGTGGGAACATTTCCCCGGGAATGGGGAGAACAAGACTGGGCAGGAAAATGAAGAGGTAATTTCTGCCTTCATAAAATCTGAGGTGTCTGTGATACCCCAATGGAAACATCAAGTATATGTTTACATATATGAGTCAGAAACTCAAGGGAGTGGCTGGAATCATAACTCTGGAGATCATCTGTGTGTATCATGTTTAAACCAAGGCTCCGGGCGAGTTCACCTGGAAGAGCAAGTAGCTAGAGCAAAGGAGGGAGCATTTACCATGGAGCTCTCCAGAGCACCAACATGTGGACATTAGGTAGAGACAGAAATGCAGCAAAAGAAATTTTAAAAGAACCATTGGAGGTATAGTAGGCTGGAGATATCACATAATTTGAGAGAAGTGAATGTTTCAAGAAGGACGAGGTGGCCAGCTCTTTTGAATGCTGCTCAGAGATGGCATCATTTGAGCTATCATCACCTCTCATATTTTCTTTAGCCTTAAATCACAAAGGCGCTGCCATACCCTCAGGCAGGATGTTCTGACTGCAATAAAACTACTCCTGAAAAGACACAGATGAATTTGAGGCAATACTGGCTGTGGCTTAGGAAATTTCTTCCGCGAGATGCTTGTCTCTGTGTTCTTCCCTCAGTGAGGGTCTCCGCCTGCCTGCCTCCCTAATAAGTCCATATTCCTTTCCATTCCACTGTCCAAGTCCTGGAGGTTTTCTAGCCCAAGGAGGCCGTTATGGTGAAGGGCACATTATTCTTTCCTCAGGCCTTAGCCATAATTTAAGAATCTCATCACTTTAGACATCTATTTCCTGGGTCTTCAGGTGGAGGACTGATCCAATTACTCAATTTCTAGAGCCTCCCTCTTGACTTTCTCTCTCTTAATCTCTTCTTCCATATGTCCTTTGGCCTTCCCTTGTTTCACTCTTGAGTCATATGATAGCCTCAGCACAGTCACTGGCGTCTAAAGTTGACAAACCAGTCTGGGGATTTAGCTCAGTGGCCCAGCACCTGCCTGGCACGTGCAAGATCCTGAGTTCATTTCCTGAATTCTGTAATTATATGTGTGTTCCTATCTTCTTAGGGAGTAGCCATGAAATGAAGAATTTCCCCCCACTACTCAGATACAACCGCAGAGGATTAACTATGCTAGCTAAGCTAAACTGTAGGGTTGATGAAGATACAGTTGACAAACCATTGCCCTCTGTGCACAGGCACTCATCAGGGTTACCCAGGCCGGTCCCAGAACACCGCTCTGAGATACACTGTGATGTTTGGGAAGGCAAGCCCTGCGAAACTGCCCAGCACCCTACTGCCACAGGAGGGTCACTTTCTAGAATCAATCCTTCGCTCTCATCAACCCTACAGTTTAGCTTAGCTAGCATAGTTAATCCTCTGCGGTTGTATCTGAGTAGTGGGGGGAAATTCTTCATTTCATGGCTACTCCCTAAGAAGATAGGAACACACATATAATTACAGAATTCGAAGGGATCCACATCTTGTAGCCCGATCTTCAGGATCATCAGAGATACTCCCCGTCTCCTGAGCCGGCAACTAAACAAACGGCCCTGAGTTAGGCCATGTCATGCGCAGCTGCCGGTCCTCTGTTCAAATGTTCCACTGTCCCCCTTGCTTCCCACCACCCCACCATTGCCATCACCATCCGTATGATGAGGCAAGCCTTGCAAGGCCACAGCGTTTCCTTCACACGACACAGAAGCTGGCGAAGCTTCTTCCGCCTTCCCTAAGTCCCTCGAGAGTGCCCTTCTCGCTCAAGCCACACCCCTTCCCCGAACACCGCCTGCCACCCTCCACAAGTCTTCGTTTTTTCCCTCTGTTGAAGGACTTTGGTGTCCGAGCAGAATTTAGCCTTCGGCTCTATCACGAATTTTAATCCCTCTCTGCATTAGTCTGTATGCGCCATGCAAATAATAAAATCCTTTGTGGTCTCACTGCCTGCCCCCAACCTAGGACAAGACCTTCCCGCCTCTAACCAGAATGACTGGAGTAGCACTTAAAGTGAAGGTATGTTTTGTTTTGTTTTGTTTGGGTGGTACTGAGGATTAAACCCTGAGCCCCGCTCTGAGCGACATCTTCAGCCCTAGCCCTTTTTTCTGTTTTTTATTTTGAGACAGAGTCTCGCTAAATGAGCAAGGTTGGCTTCAAACTTGGCATTCTCCTACCTCAGCCTCCCAAATATGGGGATTATGAGGGTATACCGCTGCGCCTAGCTTCAGGTTGAAATTTCTTTTCTTAACTTCCATACACATCTAGAACTCCAGCTCCAGCCCCACTGACCTTTCTGGCTTTGTCTCCATGCCCACGTGCACCTGTTTGTGTTTGTTTGTTTTTGCAGAGCCAGGGATGACGCCAGGGCCTCACACATACCAGGCAAGAGCTCTACCACTGAGTTACACCCTCAAACCCTTGTTCTGCTAAGGCTTTAACCCTAGTCACATGGAGTCCCATGTTCCTTGAACCTGTCGTGCTATTTCATACTTCTCACACCCATTACTAGAGTGCACTTCCGCGCCTTATTTACCAGCCAATCCCTACCCATGATCTGCACTCCAGTAGAGTGAGAGACCTCCCCTAGGAAGCCTTCCCTGATTTAGATGCCCCTCATCTATGCCTCCAAAGCAATTTATTACTACCAATTCTTGGTCTGTTTGGTAAATACTTGTTCACTTCGGGAGTAGAGCTACATCGCTTTTTAATGTAGTATACTCAGTGTCCAGCATTGTAACTAGTAAATAATAATAATATATCCCACAAGTATTTGTTAAATGATTAAATGAGTGAATGTCTCGTGGGTTTCCAGCCTGTTGTCCCTCCTTCTAACTTGGTGTCATAGTCACCTTTTAGAAAAGGTGTCTTATATCTTCCCTACCCAGAAGCCACCGGAGGCTCCTCCTGCCTAAGAAAATCCAGACCCTTTGAGTCCAAATTCAAGGTCCTTGGCAATCTGAGCCATACACTGTGCACACCCCAGTGCTACTTTCTGTTTTGTAACCGTGTCCCCTATGCTTCCCAAACTCTACTTACTGATTCCACTCAGATTCTCCACCTAGGTTTGTGTAGCTTTGGTCGCCCCTCCCATCTCTCCAATGTCCAACCCATTTCCCACGCCTCAGCTCAAATCCCACCTGCTTTGTGAAAATATTCCCAGATTAACCCTCTGCCTGAGGCATAATTAGTCTCTCCTCTAGTTTATAACATTTTGATATCTCATTACAGTTTTTATTGCTGTTTGTTTTTATCAGGGGTGAGGGGTCCCCACTAGGTTGTGAGCTCCTGGGTGGTGAGACCCCCACAGCGCCTATGGAAAAGTTCATAGTCCATAAACTCACCTTTGGTTAGAAGCAGCTCCAAGCCCCAGACTGACTTCCATTCCAGGTTTGTCTGTTTATAACCTTGGGAAGGTCCCTTAACTCCTATTGGCCTCCCTTGCCTCATCTCTAAAATAAGATTAATCATACTGAGGATGCTTGAAAATAAATTATTTATCATTTTGAAAGTGCCTCAAGATCTTTAGAAATTGACATTTCTATTTTTGTGGCATCTTTCCTGCTAGAGCTTGCTTTTTTTTTTTTTTTTTTTAAGAAATGTGCAAAGAAAAGGGAGGATCTGTTCAAAGAACTGTTCTTCTCAGAACCTGAAATAATTACATCCTGTATTTCAGGCAAGGTCATCTTTTCACCTTTATGGTAAATGATGGAGTCTTGAAGAAACCTGCACTTCCTACCAGTCACTTTAAAGTGATTACAGTATTTATGTCGAATTGTAAAAAGATGAGTAAGAATCCTGTCATCCAGAGAGCGGGATTTCCCTGATCGGAAAAATAAATGAAGAACATGTTCGAAGCACACCTGAACGTATATGACCTTTACACAAACCAGTCTCCTTTGTATGTCCTGTCAGGGTCAGGAATGGAGACATTGACTTGAGTGATCAGTTTCTTTCAAGACACTTAAAGACACACCCAAAGTCAAGGGCAAAGCGACTGCGCACTGGGAATAACACCTCATGTTTCATACGTATTAGCTCGTTCAGTCTGAGATGCTCAGACCAGGTATCACTGAACCTGCTTGATGGCTGAGGAAACTGCAGTCCAGTGTGGTTAACGCAACCCGGCCAAAGCCACTCTGTAAATGCTAAATGGTGGAGCCCGAACTCAAACGGATGTTCTGACTCAAACCCAGGCCCCCTCCCGCTCACCTCTGCACCTCTCAGCCCTGGAGCCCTGGCCACTGGGACTGGGGCACTAGGGTTTCTTGAGAAAGATAAGAACTCAGGGACCTCAGAGAACTTGCGGTGCAGCTTCAAGCCCCCCTCCCAACAAGGTCTTTGAGCCTTTCTGAGCCCCCCTTTCCCCTGGTGCCTGTGCTCTGTCAGGGCCGAGGTCAGCTGGGCTTCCCCTTACCTCAGCTGGGCTTCTCTCTCCGCTCCTCCAAGGCGCCCATCACAGAGTGTTAATGGGGCCACAACTAACACTTCAGCACATGAAAGGGAGCATCTGAGGGGATCTTGACCCTGCATCCGCAGCAGTTTCCCTGTTTCTCTGAAGAGAGCACTGGGCACCCAGAGACCACAGTTCCTACAATCAGAGGGGACGCTCCTGAAAAACTCACTTATCCACAATGAGAACCAGTATCTTCGCAAATCCTCTATCCAGTTCCTCCCCACTGCACCCCACCCCGTCGCTCTCCCACTCCCCACTCTCTCCCCTCCTTCCCCTCTTCTCTCTTCCCACTCCATCCTTCTCTAACTCTCCCTCTCCTTTCTCCTTTCTCTCTCCTCCTCCCTCCTCTCCTCTCTTCTCCTCCCTCTTCCTTTGTCTTCCTCCTCTCTCTCTCTCTCTCTCTCTCATCTTTCAATATTCTGTACCTTGCTTGGCCATAGGGTGCGGTTTTCCATGTTCATGTCAGATGATTTCTGTCTTTCCTATTGGATCATAGGGAAAGTGTTCACTATTGTGATACAATAATAGGAAGCAGTATTTATTGACTGCTCTTTGGGTGTTAGGTATAGTGCTCAGCACTTTGTTCCTGGTAGTGTAATAATCCTCACAACAACTTTAGGAGGCAGGTATCCTGACATTCATTCAAGTTTTATAGCTGAGGAAATGGAGAAATGGACAAGTTATTTGTTCAAGATATCCAATTAACAACAAAACTAGGACAAGCATGAGGGATGTCATTACACTTCTCTGTGGTCCCTGAATGGCCTAGCAGGGACCAAGTTGAATTACAGTAAGACCTGGAAATGCACTTCATGGGATGTCAGGAACATTTATTTGATTTAAGTAAACTATTGGGTAATGTAACTTGGAAGCCACATAATAATAACAACAATGATAATTTTCACTGCCAGATCCTGTGCTAAATGCGCTGTATCCTCAGTCTTTTTCGTGCTCTCTAGCAATCCCTCTCCCCTTCTTCAAGGCAAACATTTTTATTTCCTCTCAACTTACTCCCTGAGGAAGCTGGAACACTTATCTCATGGAGCTTCCTCCACTCCAGATGTTGTGGGTTATATAATCCTCCTAACACTCACTTGATTAACTTTATGAGGTAGGCACTCTATTATCCTGACCTTGCAAGTCAGAAACAACATGGTTCAGAATGGCGAAAATTTGCTTATGGTAACATAGGAAGCGGTTAAGGACATGAACCCAGCTCCATGACTCCAAGGTCCATGGTCCTGCTTTCCAGAGCTGACAGCCTCCCATACAGATACCCAGCAAGCATCTGCTCAGTAGACATCAGTCATTCTGCTATAATTCATTTTACTATTTACCACAGAGACCCAAAAATTAAAGGACAGTGATACTCAGACGTTTTATGTTCATTTGCGAGTTTTATGAGGACCCTAACTAATATCCAATGTTTAACTAAAGAAGTATAGCACACATAACTCTCTAAAATGACACCCTTTAGACATTTGTCTTTAATAAGTTAAAGACATCATTACTTTACCATACATGGTCTATTTATAATGCTTATAAACTCATACTTTAAAAGGCAAAATATATAATATCAACAGGAATTTACATAAAATAATAGACCCATAGTGGTTTACAAAGGAAGCCAAAGGTATTTATTATAAATATCCCAACTTTTAAAATTACAAATATAAGAAGTGTATTGAATGTTTGGTGGAAACTTAGAATACAAGAAAATAAAAGCTACCTACTGTGGGTTTTTTTTTTTTTTTTTGGTTTTTCTACGGTACCGGGAACCGAACTCACGACCTTGCGCTTGCCAGGCAGGCGCTTTTGCCGCTGAGCTAAATCCCCAGCCCCTCCTACTGTGGTCTTACCCTCAAATCCCATACTTTTTGAGGTTAATATTTGAGAAGTAATCAGTCTCTTCCACCATAAGTTTGCCCTGCCAGTGGAAAAGATCTAAGCTAGAGAGGGATCTCTCGAGAGTTTTCCAAGCATGGAGAGTATGCCTGCAGACCCGCAGTGGTGAGAATCTGAGATAAGAAACAGAGTAGAGTATCTAGTGGCAATGAGGTAAATTCCAGGTAAAACCTGGAGTTTAAAGCTGAAAGAGAGCTGAACAAAAAAATGCAGATACTTGTAAGAAAGAAATGAAAAAATAAAGAGTAAAAGATGCAAAGAGAAATGGGCTTTTATTTTAGGCAAGTTCTGGAAGTTTTGACACTAAAATCAGTTAAGGAAATCTCATTCAAGACACACATTTTGACCTGTTGCTATAGCTTCAGTAACCCCTCCGAAACTTATGTTAGGATTTAATTGTAACACTTGTCAAAGTGACGATAGAAGGGATGGGACTTCTAAGCAGCGATTAGGCCATGAGGGCACCGCCCTCAATTAAGGCTTTTGTCGTGGGAGCGGCTGAGTTTTCCAGGGTTTTTTCTGTCCCCTACACTGGCTTCCTCACCAGGCAATGCCCTCTGCCATGTTATGGTGCACCAAAAAGGCCTTCCCAGCTATGAGGCCACATTCTTAGACTTCACAGCCTCTAGAACTGCAAGAAATAAATCTCTGAGCTCTATAAATTACCCAGCCTTGGGTATTCTGCTACAAGTGCAAAAGCAGCCTAAGATATCCATGGAGCATGTGGACAGGTCACAGGATGAGGTGAGACATTTCAAAAAACATACAAAGGTGAAAGCTCACCTTTCTCAAACGTGCCAGGCCAAGGGCTGACAGTGCCACTCCCTGGGCTTCCCAGAGCTCACCCAGGACATCCCTGGCACCTGTCTTCATCTCAGTCATGACAGCAAACACAGGTTGTGGACACACCACTGGCCTTCTGCAAGATCCCTTCTGCCCAGCCCCCGATGTCAGGGCCAGGGTCCTCTCTGCAGAGACCTGCTTCCTTGGCCCCATGTCTACCCACCCACCCTGCTTGCCAAGGGAGGAAAAAGACCTCGCTGTCCCTGGTGCTAAACCCGGGCATAAGTGATCAGTGTTCAGCCAGCCACAGCACAGATGGAAACAGTTTGACATTGCAATGCAACTGGCCCATCTCCAAGTTCAATTCCTTCTGGAGATGCCACATTTTAAAGTTAACCACAGGCACATCTGTAATATAACCTGTGGTGCTTATTATGTTATTTAATGAATAGGGCGTAACAGATCATAAATGGTTTTATATAGACCTAATATACAGGCCTGCTTTTTTTTTTTGCAGTTTTGTAGGACTGCTCTGTAGCCTTCCTTGCTATTCTTTCTTAGGCCAGCACTGCAAAACATAGGAGGCTGAGACAGGCAGTCTTTTCTCAGGAGCCAAAGGAGACAGGAGGCTCAGCTCCTGAGATACCACCTTGGTGGTTTGATTTTAAAATTGGAACTTACCACACTTCCATTTTTTAGAAATTTTACTATTACTACTTTTTGCTTGGGCAACATAATCAAGCGTAAACTAATTTGGATATTTTCTATCAAGAGAGAAGAAAAGCAGAGTCCAGTGAAATGGGGCCAAGTAGGAAAGGGAAAGAAGCCCAGGGAAGCTTTTCAGCCAGTGTAAGTGAGGTCTTAGCTCAGAAGCCTCTCCCAGGCCAGAGGAGAAGAATGTGCTCTTTCTCTCTCCTCCATAACTCCAGCCCAATTTACTTTTTAAAATTCTGCAGCTTGGTATGTTTACAGAAATCCACCCAGGCATCATGTTGCTTTCTTCCAGAATGGTTTTTACTTTATGGTTTCAAAAAGTGTACCTACAACATCTAGGCCTAAATGAAATAACTATTTACCTTCCCTAGTTCTCCTAATCTTTGTGCACATATGCCCATGCTTTTTATGTGATTCTTATCACAGGGAACATGAGATTGTATGCTCTACACTTTTTTTTTGGAGATAGGGTTTCATTATGCAGTTCAGGTTAGACCTGAACTCACTTTGTAGCCCAGGTTGGCCTTGAACTCACAGTGATCCTCCTGCCTCAGCTTCCTGAGTGCTGGGACTACTGTCCTACACTTTAAATTGTGCGTTTCAGCTAGATTTTTTTTTCCAAATCATTAAGTATGCCTAGAGATCCTGATCTCTAATGCTTACATTTCAAAATGGAAGATTTTTACTTTGAAGCATACTGTTATTATAAAACTTGAGTTTCAAAAGTTACTTATAAATCCAGGCATTCTGGGAGACTGAGACAGGATGATGGCAAGTTTGAGCCCAACCTGGGCAATTTGGAAATTTAGCAAGATCCTGTCTCAAAATTAAAAAAAAAGAAAAGAAAAGAAAAATAAAGAAAAAGAAAAAGGCTCACTTGAGATGTTAGTAAGAATTGCCTCCTCAGTATCTATAGTTGTGACGAGGAGGAGGCCAAGGGGAAAAAACAAAGAGACTGAGAAAAAGCAGCTGCTTTTGCTGCAGAACTAAGAGAAACAGACCCTAAGTCTAATTCTCGGGGCCCCAAGAAGAACTCGACAACTGCATTCATCTGCTACCACTGTAAAAGCCAGGCCACCTCAAGAAGAACTGCCCCAAGAAGCCCCCTGTGCCATGCCCTGAATGCAAAGTTGACCACTGGAGATCGGTCTGCCCTCTGAAGAGGAGGTCCCAGAGCTCAGATCCATCCTACCAGTTAGTCTAACAGGAATGAGGGGGCCCAGGACATACTCTGCCTTCTCCCTCTGGCCAGACTGTCATCTCCATAGAGGAGCCCCAGGTAATCATGACTATAGAGCAAAAAGAAAACAGCTTGTTGCTAGACACAGGTGCAAGTCTCTCGGTCCTTCTTTTCAATCCTGGCCTTCCTTCCAGCCGTCACGCCTCAGTGCAAGGAGTCACTGGTAAGGAGGTAATACGCTATTTTTCACAACAATTAGCCTGTAACTACTTGTTAGATCTTTCTTGCATATCTCTGTCCTCCTGAGAAATCACTTTGAAGATACCACCATGTATTACAGCAGCCATTGATATTTTCCTACTAATCTGTCCATAACTCTATAATGTTTGTATTGTTCCTATGCTATTTCATAAGTGGATGTACGTTTATTACTATGTGTTTCCTACAACAACCATTGAAAATAGTCAATGAATATTCAATTGGTCACTCATGTATAGCTCTATTTATTTTCTTTAGAAACCACTTTGAAGATACCAAAGTATAGTACAACAACCATTGATAATAACCTACCACTTTTGTCTGTAACTCACTATTATTTGTCTGTTTTCCTGAGAAACTATCTTGTAGACAACAATATGTAAAACAGCAACCATTGATAATTTCCTACCACTTTGTCTGTAATTCAGTAAGCCCCCCTATTACTATGTTATCTTTCTTTTACTCTTTAGAATAATAATAATAAAAAGAAAAAGAGCTAGACATGTAGCTCCAGGTTCAGTCTTGCTCAATCCCCAGTAGTGGGGAGCAGGAAAATGCTGCTTTGAGCAGAATTTCTGCTTTATCTTGTTTCTGAGTTAAGAGACTCTAACTTCA